GAAGGGTCTAGGCCCGAAACGTCAGCCTTCCTGCTCCTCTGATGCTGCTTGGCCTGCTGTGTTCATCCAGCTCTACACCTTGTTATCTCAGATTCTCCGGCATCTGCAGTTCCTACTATCTCTGACATCTATCTAAATCTGTTGAGCTTACTGCTCACAATACTTTAACTAGAGGTTTGTATGTCTTTGGCATGATAGTTACTTCATGGAAGGGCCAGCATTCCAATAGCTGCCTGAATTCTTTTCTGTATCTGTCCATATCATTTTAATGATTTATGTACATGCAACCGCGTTCCTTTTAGTCCTCCCACAGTTTCAATCTTTTCATTATTTAGAAAGTACTCTGTCTTCCCCCTTTCAGGTCCAAAGTGGGTGACTATGCTTTGGCATGCATCAAAATTCATTTGCCACAGTTTTAGTCGTGCATTTAATCTATTAATGTTTCTTTATGCTTCCATGTATACTTCTTACAATGCCATCTATGTTTATGTCATCTGTCCCCATATGTTGTGATGTTAACAGATGCAATAAAGAGTTGAGGCTCAACATTCATCCTTGGAGAACACCATTAGTCATTCTGGACAATAATAGTAATTGTACATTATCTGTAATCTCTGCATACTGCTGCTTATCCAGTTGCCTAACCAGGTCCATAGTTTGTCTTCAATTCCACATGCTTTTCCTTTAGGGACTTTGATAAATGTCTTCTGGAACCCCACATAAAAAAAATCCATGATCCCTCCCACGTTTTACTTCAGTCACTGTTTCAAAAAGTTCATTCAGGCATAGCATTTTTCAAATCCATGCTGATTATTTTTGATCAGCTGAAAACAGCAGAAAACACCTGACCTCTTGTTGAAGGATTTTTTTATGGTGGGCAAAACAGATAGGAAAGATAAATTTGTAAAGATCTCATAGATCCCCTCGGCCCCTGTAAAGCGCGGTTTTGCACTAGTCTAGATTGGTACTGCGCCCACTCTTGCATTCAAAGTGATTGATAGGACTCCTTATTTAAACTGTCACTTGCAGGTTGCAAAGTAGTTTTCCATGTGCATTTAACGTAAAAGTGATGGTACACTCATATTAACATCATAAAGTTTGCTAAGTACTGGTTGTAGAGTTATTGCAGATGCAGACAATGCTGGATTTAATGATTTCCTGTTCTAGATTATATAATAATGAAGAACACCAAAATCCCATCTCATCAAAAATTTGACGCATCTGCATGTTATTAGTTGATAACAAGTTCCATTTCACTACCTGTGACATTAAAGGGTTACTGTATCATTGATATATTTCGTTTTATAATTATTCAAAGTCATAACACAAATATATTTAAATTGATCAATATATCTTGCAGAAGATAGATCATTGCAAGTTCACCATGTTTGTGGGCCTTTGCAAAAAGTTACTGAGGAACCCTGTGGAATGTGAAAATAGGGCACTGAAGGAGATGGTCAAGAGCAGTTAAATTAACAAAAATGACTGAAGATTTCTTGCAGAATTAACAGTGCTGTTTTACTTATTCAATTACTTATTTTTTAAATCTCTTAGATTGAGAAATCGATCCGGAAGAAGAGACTACAGATTGAGGATTTCAGTATTTACTGGGATGTGGACTGTGAATTGCTAGGGGATATTCCTCCTACTGAACTCCAGGTTTGAAATTTATACATTCAGCTTAATAAATCAATGCAATCAAATAATGTTTATTGAAAGGAAGGAACAAGGGGGAGAAAAACATCTGGTTTCAATGAATTTTTAATGTTGACAGTGTGGATACACTGAAACTGGAATGAAATTTGTCCTGATCTCAGTAGTCTATAATTTCAATTTTGTGATCATTAGTTTAGCTTGTATTTGTTTCACTTGATCCCTATCTGCCAACAAACAAAATTTGGAAAAGACGTTTTAAAAACTTTTTCTTGTAGGTACTGCTGATTGAAAATGCCTAGTCAACTAAATGTTGTATCAAAACCACTAAAATCTGTAGCACGGCAGAAAGTTGTGGTGTCAGCAACAGGTGTATGCTAGAGCAATCTTGTCTCCACATGCTTTTATCCTGCCTATTTTAATTTTACAACTGGTAAAGGCTGTGCAACTTATTTGGCTACATCATCCACTTCTGAATTAGCCATTTGGTAGGATAGGCCAGAGACGCCTTTGTTCACAGTTAGTTGTACATTGGACCATCCATTTTGTATAGGGAATATGATTGCAATGATCTTATGCTGAATTAAACTCCCAAGGCATTATCATGAATATTTGTAATATCTTTACGGAGGAGAGCTAAACATCAATTGTGTTGGGTTATAACTTTGTAACATTCATGACATTAGTATTCGAACTTGTGTGTAAGGGATTTTTCTTCTAATGTTGTTCGTTCAAAGATATTAACCCATATTGGGGTGCAGTTCTTCAGATACTGTCCACTTTTCAGTATCACACCCAAATGGTCACTTTTCATTGGTGTGTCTAAAACAGTTGGTATCATTGTGCTATTTTAACTGTCATTACCATCCCAAATAAAGTAGTTCTAAACGCATCCAGTGTTGATTCCTGGACTCTAGCATGGTTAGAAGTGTGGTTTATTAGCAAATGGTCAATGTTAAACTCATTGAAATGGAAGTGAAATCCAAGATAAGTACCCTTTTAATTAAAATGCATTTTTCTTTTCTGGGAGAAAATGCCAGTGACAGTTGAATTATGTTTGAAGTTGGTTTCAAAAACAGATGTTTTATTTTGGTAGTGGTCCTTAATTCAGGTCTTCCTTGTTGCTAGGCCTTGGGTTGTTGTTACTTATGTGAATGTTTAAGTGGGCTAAACATTGGCAAATGGGGCTAGTATTTTTTTCTATTCATTTGTGGAATGTGAGCGTCGCTGGCTGGCCAGCATTTCTTGCCTATCACTAGTTGCCCTTGAGAAGGTGATGGTGTACTGCTTTCTTGAACCGCTGCAGTCCTCCTGTTGTGGGTCGACCCACAATGCTATTAGGGAGGGAACTCCAGGATTTTGATCCAGCAACAGTGAAGGAACGGCGATATATTCCCAAGTCAGGATGGTGAATGACTTGGAGGTGGTGGTGTTCCCATATATCTGCTGCCCTTGTCCTTCTAGATGAAAGTGGTTATGGGTTTGGAAGGTGCTGTCTTAGGATCTTTGATGAATTTCTGCAGTGCATCTTGTAGATAGTACACACTGCTGTTACTAAGCTTTGGTGGTGGAGGGAATGAATGCTTGTGGATGTAGTGCCACTCAAGCGGGCTGCTTTTTCCTGGATGGTGTCGAGCTTCTTCAGTGTTGTCGGGGCAGCACTCATTCTGGCAAGTGGGGAGTATTCCATCACACTCCTGACTTATGCCTTGTAGGTGGCAGACAGGCTTTGAGGAGTCAGGAGGTGAGTTATTCGCCGCAGTATTCCTCGCTTCTGACCTGGTTTTGTAGCCACTCTGTTAATGTGGGAGTCCAGTTGAGTTTCTGGTCAATGGTAGCCCCCAGGATGTTGGTAATGGGGGATTCAGTGATGGTAACACCATTGAATGTCAAGGGACAGGATAGATTGTCTATTATTGGTGATGGTCATAGCCTGGCATTTGTGTGGCGTGAATGTCACTTGCCAGTTGTCAGCTCAAGCCTGGATATTGTCCAGATCTTGTTACATGTGAACATGGACTGCTTCAGTATCTGAGGAGTCATGAATGGTGCTGGACATTGTGCAATCATCGGCGAACATCCCCACTTCTGACCTAATGATGGAGGGAAGGTCATTGATGAAGCAGCTGAAGATGGTTGGACCTAGGACACTACCCTGAGGAACTCCTGCAGAGATGTCCTGGAGCTGACATGATTGACCCCCTACAGTTACGGCCATCTTCCTATGTATCAGGTATGACTCCAACCACCGGAGCTTTTGTCCCCTGATAGCCATTGATTCCAATTTTCCTAGGGCTCCTTGATGCCACACTCGGTCGAATGCAGCCTTGATATCAAGGGCTGTCACTCTCATCTCATCTCTGGAATTCAGCTGTTTTGTCCGTGTTTGAACCAAGGCTGTAATGAGGTCAGGAGTTGAGTGGCCCTGGCAGAACCCAAACTGGGCATCACTGAGCAGGTGCTGCTTGATAGCACTGTTGATAACACATTCCATCACTTTACTGATGATCGAGAGTAGACTGATGGGACGGTAATTGGCTGGATTGGATTTGTCCTGCTTTTTGAATACAGGACATACTTGGTCAATTTTTCACATTGTCGGGTAGACACCAGAGTTTTAACTGTACTGGAACAGCTTGGCTAGGAGAGCAGCAAGTTCTGGAGCAGAAGTCTTCAGTACTATTGCCGGAATGTTGTCAGGGCCCGTAGCCTTTGCAGTATCCAGTGTCTCCAACAGTTTCTTGATATCACATGGAGTGAATTGAATTGGCTGAAGACTGGTATCTGTAATGCTGGGGACGACTGGAGGAGGCCAAGATGGATCATCCACTCAGCACTTCTGGCTGAAGATTGCTGCAAAAGCTTCATCCTTATCTTTTGCACTGATGTGCTGGGCTCTTCCATCATTGAGGATGGGGATATATGTGGAGCCTTCTCCTCGGTGAGTTGTTTAATTGTCCACCACCATTCACAACTGGATGCAGCAGGACTGCAGAGCTTAGATCTGATCATTGGTTGTGGGATTGCTTAGCTCTGTCTATCACTTGCTGCTTTTGCTGGTTGGTGTGCAAGTAGTCCTGTTTGGTGGCTTCACCAGGTTGATACCTCATCTTCAGGTATGCCTGGTACTGCTCCTGGCATGCCCTCCTGCACTCTCCATTGAGCCAGAGTTGATCTCCGGGCTTGATGGTAATGATATGTGGGGGATATGCCGGGCCATGAGCTTATAGATTGTGTTGGGATACAATTCTGTTCCTGTTGATGGCCCACAGTGCCTCATGGATGCCCAGTCTTGAGTTGCTAGATCTGTGTGAAGTCTGACCCATTTAGCATGGTGATAGTGCCACACAAGACGATGGAGGTTGTTTTCAATGTGAAGTCGGGACTTCATCTCCACAAGGAATGTGTAATGGTCACTCTTACCGATACTGTCACGGACAGATGCATCTGCAGCAGGCAGATTAATAAGGACGAGGTCAAGTATGTTTTTCCTTTGTGTTGGTTCCCTCACTACCTGCCGCAGACCCAGTTTTGCAGCTATGTCCGTTAGGACCCAATCAGCTCGATCAGTAGTACTGCTGCTGAGCCACTTTTGGTGATGGACATTGAAATCCCCCACCCACCCAGAGTACATTTTGTGCCCTTGCCATCCTCGGTGCTTCTTCCAAGTGTTGTTCAACATTGAGGAGTACTGATTCATCAGCTGGGGGAGGACGGTATGTGGTAATCAGCAGGAGGTTTCCTTGCCCCTGCTTAACTTAAAGCCCTGAGACTTCATGGGGTCCAGAGTCAATGTTGAGGACTCCTAGAGCAACATCCTCCCGACAGTATTGCCACTATGTCACCCTCTCTACTGGGTCTGTCTTGCCAGTGGGACAGGACACATCCAGGGATGGTGATGGTGGTGTCTGAACATTGTCTGTGAGGTACGATACTATGAGTATGACTGTCAGGCTGTTGCTTAACTAGTCTGTGAGACAGCTCTCCCAATATTGACATTAACCCCCAGATGTTAGTGAGGAGGAATTTACACAGTCATCAGGCTGTTTCTGCCGTTGTCTTTTCCAGTGCCTAGGTTGATGCCAGGTGATCCGTCCGGTTTCATTTCTTTGAGTCTTTGTAGCGATTGGTACGACTGAATGGCTTGCTAGGCCATTTCGGAGGGCAGTTGAGAGTCAATCACATTGCTGTGGGTCTGGTGTCATATGTAGGCCAGACCAGGTGAGGGTGGCAGATTTCCTCCCCTGAAGGACGTTAGTGAACCAGATGGGTTTTCCCAACAATCGGCAATGATTTCCTGGTGATCAGTAGATTCTTAATTCCAGACTTTTTTTTGAATTCCAATTCAACCATCTGCCGTGGTGGGATTCGAACCCAGGTCCCCAGAACATCAGCTGGATTTCTGGATTAATAGTCTTGCGATAATACCACTAGGTCATTGCCTACCCATAATTCAGTTTAGGAAACCAGGTCAGCTTGGATGAGTTGGGCCAAAAGGTCTGTTTCCATGCTGTCCGCCTCTATGATGCTATCTCAGTGTTCTCAGGAGAACAAGCTTTATCTATCCAAATCAGAATAAGAGCTGCTTCAAATCTCAATTTCACTGCTGGTTATCTGGTTTCTTGGGATCTAATGGCTTTCAAGCCAGTTTTTAATTATCTTTGTCACTTCACATGAGATCTTGTTACAACCAAAGTTGGAGGAATACATGTCTCTCTTGTGTTGCACGACTCCATTGGCCAAAACATCAATTTAAATGTTTACCCAATTATTGATTTGGTCAATATGTACTTCATCTGTATTAAATTTAGAATAAATAAGTATCTTGTTTCTTTAATAAACAAGGGCTATTGATTTAATGTTAATAATTCCTTCTGTAAAATGAATCACCAGTTTGAAAAATTATAGTAGACTTTTCTTCCCTATTAAGTAAAAGTAGCTTTAATAAGAATTGTTGTGAATATGCAGAGTTTATTTATAAGGGAATAAAATATTTAATATGTTGACATGTCAGCATCATTTTGACTTTCCAGGAAGCCATGGATTATTTTTTGGAAAACAGAGACCACAAGTACATACTGGAGCCAGTTTGTGCCTCTGCTCTGTTAAAGAGGAATGGAACCAAAGAACCCTTGCGTTCCCGGAACACTCCACGCATTGAGTGTGATGTCAATCTGAAGACAATTCCGTTAAAACTATCACAGGTGAGTCAGAGGTTTCAGAGACTGGTGTTCATTTGAATCATTTACCACATTGTCTTTTTGTGGATATTTTAGCCAATCTGTTCTTCTGTGCTTCATGTTGTTGCTTCTGTTCTCGGTTGGAATGATGGGACCATATGGTCCCTAGAACTTGATCAAAGCCACAGTGTAACCAGCTGGAACATGCTGTCATCTCCAAGTCTGTGCTCACCTTTCCCCAGAATCTGATGTTTTTAAATTCTTCCATTCAGGCTTATGTCCCTGCTACAATACTGAAATCCTTCTTATAAAAGCCATAAGTGGTATTGTCTGTGACTGACGAAGGTGAACTATCCTTTCTCCTCATTGTTGACCTGTCACACAGCCTTCCACAAAGTCAATCTAACAATCTTTACACACCTCTCCTCCATCATCCATCTAGATGGATCTGTGCTCTTCTGCTTCCATTCTTAGCTATTCAGCAGTAGCCAGAGAATAATCTTCAATAGCTTCTCTTTGCACTGCCACGCTCCTATTTCTTCTAACTTAATAACACTATCACTAAGTCCACCTACTTTCATTTTTGTCAGATTGCTCAAATTTGCACCAGCTTTACTAATTTGCTGCTAGAACTCTCACTCATACCTTTATTATCATCAGCCTTGACCACTCTAATGTACTCGATAGTTTCTCAACTTTCTCATTCCATAAATTTTTAACTGATCCAAAGGTCTGCTGCCCATGTCTGAACTCCCAACAAGTCTTATTTATCATCATCTCTGTGGCTTTCTGACCTATACTATCTCCTGGTTAAGATGTGCTTTGGTTTTAAAATTCTCATGTTTGTTTACACCACATCCCTTTTCTCTGTATCATTCTTTAGCCCTATAATCTTCCAGGATATATGTGCCCCTCCATCTCTGGCCTCTTGCACATCCCAATTTTAATTCTTCTAACATTAGCAGTTGCATCTTCAGCTTCAAAGTTCTAAAGCTCTATTGCTCCTTGCCTTTCTCTCTCCACTTCTGTATCTCTCTTTTCTCCTGTAAGAAGATCCTTAAAACCTATTCCTTTGACAAAACCTGTGGTGATCTTCCCTTCTATATCATTGACAATTTTGTTTGATAATTGCTCTGTGAAGGACCTTAGGACTTCACAGATGCTATTCAAAGGCTAGTTATTAATTCTAAGCTCACAATGGTCTTAACCCACATTTTGTGTTAGATGTGATCAGAGGTTTTAAAAACAAACACTTGAGGACATAAATTGTGAATGACTGTCCATTTTTTTTACAAACATTCTTCTGACTGTTGGCTTATTTTAGTGCCCCTCTGTGCTTGTGTGCCCAGGTACAGTACCAGCAATTGATGACATTCCTGAAAGAAATGGAAAGAAAAGAGCGACAACTCCAACTAAGAAAATGGAGGCCAAAAGTTCCTGTCAAATCAAAGTAAACCTCTCTTCTGATTACTATTTATGTTAAGTTCTGTGAGTAAGGTGAATTAATCTATTTGATTCATTGCACCATTCCACTTGTCACATATGACCCTGTTCAACTAGGAAGGAAATATGTTGATTTACTCATCTAGAATGCCATTAGAAATGATGTTTGCATAGCAGCTTGGGAGCACGAGCAAGGCTAGTTAGATTTTGCCTCCTTATCCCATGCAAATAAATGGAAGATAAAACACAGCTGTTCAATTCAATCCATTTCTGAGCTTACAAGCAACACTGGTTGCCTTTTCAAGGTTGTAATTTACTGCAGGTGTCTGAGATTTCAGCAGATAATTAAGACTTGGCTCTTGTGGTTTATGGAATTGTATCTTGTTACAATATGCATCCATCCATTCCTACATACTGCAATTATTTTGTTCCTAAAACTACAGCAATGATGTTGGAAGTGCTTTTAGTAACCCTTTCATCTACATGTAACTCCACCACTTTTAGCTCCTTCATTGTGTCTCAAATGTGAAAAGAAATTTTTTGACATGTTACATTTACTACATGATTTGGACCAGTGAGGCAGTCAGCATCGTGTATGTTAAGGTGTAATTTGGACAACAACCTCTGCCAACTGCATACCTGCATGCAACATGGAGAGCAGGAGGTTGCTGTCTGAGTTACCCCTTCTTCAGATGTTTAACTATTCCATTATTTAGTCAGAGAGACTCAACATTGATACATGTGGGTATGATATTGCTAAAATTGCCAGAGAAACTGAGGACTTGTCAATTTCAGAATTGGTCAATCTTGAACTGCGTGGTAAGTTTTAATTACTGCCAAACAATTTCTCCAGCACTGTAAATCAACGATTACAAGTGTGAAGTTGAAGTTGTCACATCACAATTATTGTTGGAAAATTTAAATACTTTACAAGTTTTTAAAGGTTTTTTCCCCACGTCTTATTTCTTTCTTCTTCCGGTATTTCTTCCCATATCTTTATTTCACTTCAAATACATAACCTTACCCTGAATTAACTATGTCAGCTTTTATTTCCTAATTCAAACTGCATGACTTCGAAAACATTTCTTCAGTCTGGCTAGTTATGGACATACACAGTTGCACGATCTGTTCATATATATTCCAGATCTCCTGTAGATTGTGCCAAAATGGCTTTCTAATTGCCCAGTGAAGCCTGTGAGCAACTGTAGTGTAATGAACTGATGACACCAATTTCTACTAACTGCAAAATCTGAGCTATTGGGATTTTCCATTGTAAAAAGACAACTTGCAAACATTATTATATCTAATGAACCTTGTAGAGCTTAGTGAATAAAAACATCACTGCATAACCAATACACACAGACCATGAAAGTAGCCAGTTTATGCTGAGTTAATTGATCTCACAGTGACAGCAATCACTGTTTACAACTCAGTTTGTGTTCCTGACTCGTATCCATTGATTGCTCCAGTGTGCGGAAGTTAGCTGACACCAGGATTGGGCTTAGCTTTGGTGCCTCAACAGTCTTCTAACACACTTAATCTAATACGAATTTTGCATCTTCTGGAGAAGAAAGAAAATTAGTGAATTAGGAAATTGGAGGATAGCAAGTAGTAAGTAGTCACTGGAGATTCCTCTGCATTCCAGTGTTTGTTGTTTTAATTCCATTTTGGCATCCTATTTCTGGCAGAGTAGGCTGGATTGAAGTAGGGCGTGAAGCACATTAGTCATGTCTGAAATATTTATGACTGGCTTATGCTTGACCTTTAAACAGGTTACATGTATTGCCTGATTTGCTTCTTAGTAAGTCTTATTGCTTTGTGCTACTCAGAATGGTCACCTATATTTAATAGGGTGCTTCATTTCACAGTAGGATTCAGCTTTTTTAATTCAATCTATTCTGTCCCCAATCTGCCTGCTCTTACTATCATTTCCTTTTGTTAGAAATTCATGTGGCAATGATTTTGGTGGGAATTGCATTGACCATATATGTTTACATAGACGATTTATGTTATAGATATGTTCATAGTAATTTAAAACAAAATAATACTAGAATGTCTGGCTTTTTCATCTATGTATCCTGGCACATTCTCTAATCCTGGAACATCCTCTAACCCTGCATTATCTGAAAACTCCTTCTGGCCTAGACTCCAAAAGAAGGGGTATAGTGTAAAACTGTTGATAATAAATCAGTCACTGATTATTCATCTGGAATGATTTACATTCCCATTGAAGTTCAAATCATGTCAATTTTATGTTATCATCCAAAGTCAAAATTACACTGTTTGTCACTGACAACTATAAGTGTGCAACCGCAGAATTCATTCTGTAGGATTGTTTAATAAATGATCTTGTTGAAAAGCCTGTTGGAAAATTCTATTCTATACATTCTTTTTCCTTCTAAATAGTTCACGTGAATGGTGGAATTTTGCTCTGAATGCAAATCTCGCTGAGATCCGTGAGCAGAGGAAGCGATTAAACTGGTCATATCTATTGCAACGAGCAAGAGATGCTGTATTTTATGCAGAGACATACCATCATAAGCTGCAAGGAAGCCTGAATTCTTTTGAAGAAGAGGTGATGCAATCTTAGCTGTGAATAACTCATTTAAAACTTCCAATACTTTAGGGATTCAGGGGCAGCAGTTAGCATATGGATGTGTGTGTTCTAGGGGGTGTGGGGTACTTGGCTGTTGGTTTGTTTGCAGGCTGTGGGCATATATGGAAAGCAGAGGATTTACTCTGGGGGTGCTGGAAAAGGATCTACTTAGTGTTTCAATTGGAAATGAGGGTTTGTTTATGTGTCAGTCGATATACTGGGGAACTTGGCCAGAAATATTTCAATGAATATTGAGAGGATCAATCAGATTGGTGCTTACAAACTACAGAGTGGGGAATTGGTGTGCTGAAAGAATGGAGGAAGAGTAATCTGCTTGTCATCAGCACGTACAGTTCTAGCAATATATTTCACTTGACTGCTGCTGAAGAAATAGTGGCGATGTCCTGTCTTTACCTGGCACTGCCATGGAAGGATGCTATAGGTGTGGTTTAGAAGAATTTTTGACTTGTAAAAATTGTATTGCTTTTCTATTTGTGAACTCGTCAAGTTGAAAATGCTTGATTTTATGTTTGATAATTAAGTAGCAATAATGCATGGATATTTTAGGAAAGTCATATTTCTAGCCCTATCCCTCATATCTCTCTCTGACTGAAGTGGTTGGTATTGTGGTTTTTTTTTTAAACAGGAGTTGGAGAGAATTGAGGATGAGCAGACCTTTGAGGAATTGAAAATCTTGCGAGAAATTGTGTATGAACGTTTTAAGAAACAGGACACACTGGCCGAGGTCAGGATTAGGCAATAAAGATTTCATTTTCTTTTGTACATAATTAATATTTTTGTGTTAAACCAATATATGATTTTAAAAAAAAGTAACTCCATATATCCATGGCTAAATGAGGTGGATCCAAGATGATATACTTATAATGAAAATCAAGATCATAACATTGAGTGATATACTCAATACCTGAGCCATGTTGGTAAGTGACTGACTTGCTTGCTTTACTTTTACATCCTAATGGAGTAGATCTGACATAAGGTACTTGAATAGCTCCCACTTTGCCTGAGGTAAGCCTGCAAACCAATGATCTAGTGGGCCATGCAGCAGAAAGGTTACCATTAGAGGTAAGCTGTGCAGTTTTATCCAGTGATGCCAACTAGTATGTCTGCTCACCATCAGGCTCCCTGAGCCTAGTCTTTTCCGATATCTGCCTAAGCTCCATGGACGCAAATAAGTAGTTTTGTTCCTTTGGGTAGAAATTGAGTAATCTACATTGGGCAATCACATTCAACAAAATTAAATTAATCAGTATCTTCATTTTAATTTGTTTATAAGTTGTGGATGTTTCTGGCTAGGCCAGCATTTGCCCATCTCTGATTGATTGCCCTTGAGAAGGTGGTGGTGGTGAGCTATGTTCTTGAACCACTGCAGCCCTTGTGATGTAAGAACAGCCATGGTGCTGTTAGAAATGGAGTTTGAGAATTTTGATCCAGCACCAGTAAAGGAGCGGTAATTGAGTTCCAAGCCAGCAGCCTGTTAAACCTGGTGATGGATTATCATGTAGCTGACCAAATAAATTATTGAAAGAAAATGGATATTCGAGTGCTGCCATTGTTGATCCAGCAAATGGTAAGAATGCCAGCCCAGAGATTGGGAATAGAAGGGCAAAATGTGAGAATCAGCCCAAATCGCTCTCCAACATCAAGCAAGTGATCAGAGCAAGATTGCTGAAACTTTGAAGCTGTGTGTCAGACCATTTCACTAAAGAATGAGGCTTGAAATACAGACTGTTTTCCCTGGGTCTTCCATCTATGATGATCATGGGATGTTGCAAAAATAACATTCAGCACTTCTAGTTCTTGCAATCCGGGAGTTGAAGGAAAGTAAATGAACATAGCAAGTGAAAATAACTACTTAAACAAAATATGTAATTATAATAAAAATATTAGCTCTAGGAATGCCAATGTCAGGCATTCACTTGAAAGCATCCGAGACTGGCAGATTTCAAAGCATGAGCACAGCATCTGGGAAGCTGTAATGCAGTCCATTTACCATGGCACAATATGTTGAAACATTTCTCAGTTGTTGATGAGTGAGACGCTGTTTGTAGATTGTCATTCATACCAGTCATGTAACTGTTCAGCATTTAGGATTGCTTATAACTCACCTGGGAAGTCTTTTTGGAAACGACTGGAGGTTTAAATTTCTGTTTCTTTTGGATCATTCTGATAGAGCCTGCGTGAGCCACCATCAGAACCTCTAGGTTCTTCCTCATGCTCAGAATCTATGCATAAAAATCGCAGTGGCATGATCCAGTACCTGCAGTCTTGGTTCCCTGGATGGGGTGGCTGGTACGGCTACTCCCAGAATCCTCAGCAGACGGAGCAGGGTGTGACTGTAGAGGGCCTGACAGCTGAAGAGCAACAACAGTGGAGTTCAGAAGAGGATCTAGGTAAAAGACTTATATTTGTGCAATTGCTTCAAAAATAACAATCTGCGTGACTGCAGTTCGCATTGAGCTTGATTTCATTTGAAACTTTGTACTTTTAATATTTGTGAAATTTTATTTTAGGAGCAGTAAGTTTATGTTGCACTTAAACAACTAGCTAACGTGTCTACCCGACGATGGTATCAGTGTCTTAATTCAGTCACATCTCCACCTTTGACGTGTATAGTTCACTAATACTAATTGGAATGATGCTGTCCGTTAATGCAATGAATTATTTAATCAGGTTAAATGCAGTCAATTAATATGAATTTCACACATCGTATTGTCTTCAGGATCTTCATCGGTATTAAGTGTGGAGTTCCAGACAGGTAGGAAAGCAGTTAAGTGGCATTCAGTCAAGAACCAGCACTGTGATCTGGGATATTTACATCAGTCACCTACTTCATTGCTGACATTTTTTTGAAGCACATTTGAATTATTGTTGAACTCTCTAACATTCATTAACTATGCAAATCTGGAAATCGCAGCACGAGGGAGGAATGAAGATTATAGAACTGACCTCAAAGATTGCTAATTATTTTACCAGACTTTGTACAAATTACATTTTAGTTTATTTAGATTTCTGTGCATCTAATGAATGCTCTGCCACAAGTGCTGATTCCCAAAGGATCACAACATGAAAGGAGGTGCTGTTATCCTAGTCTTTTTCGATCAGTTTCAACCCCCACGCCCCACCCCAACTCCAGATCAACACTTCCACAGATGACAGGTTCTAATTGGTAACTATCATGAGGAAACATTTTCTAGTTGTGAACTTCGAAGTCTAATCATGAGGTAGTTGCTATGCTCCCCCAGCTGTTGTTATTACTGGACACGTCAGATCCCAGACTGAAACCTGGCTTGATAGATCATATTTTAATTTGTTTTGGTTTTAAAATGTCTGTCATTGAAACATAAGCATCCGGTGCTTAATAGTAAAGCAGAACTTTATTCGCAAAAGAAATGAGTAAAAAATGAAATAAACCAAACAATTTGCTTATAACATGCATTCAAAGATCTTTAAACCCACAGTATAAGTCTAAAATCATCAATCCTGAAACATGCCTTTGTAAATTAAAAAGAAAATAGCAACTTTTGTGTAGTACCCAAAGTTATGGGTATTTCCCTTAAGCTTCAAAAAGGGCTCCTGACCCTCTAAACTGGAGTTTGTTTGGTTGCAGAATTCTTATCTATGCACTCAAAAATCCATTAATTCCAAAGGTAGGCTAAGAAAAACTGTTTTGAAATAAATCAAGATGGCCACAGAAATACTCGAAAATTCATCATTAACTTCAGACAGTCAGAAAAATTCATGTTTCTCACTAACCCAGAATGTAAGAATCTACACTGGGGAACTTGATTAATGATTTGAATATCCTGTTCATTGTCACTGGACATCTATCAACATGTACATAGTGACAATTGCTACTGTTGAGTTTTATTTTGTATTTCTTAACGTTGAGTCTTCATTAATGCACTCATTCTGACAGTGGTCTCAAAGTTAAGTAATTAAATTGAGTTACTTGAATGCAGCAATGTGCAAACTGGATGACACAACTAGTAAACATTTATATTGTTCTCCAGTTGAGAAAACATGGCGTTTTTCCAGGAATGGATTTGGAGAAAGATATTCTGCTGCAGTGGACATTTCTGAAGTATTTGCATGTTTCTACATTTTACAAAATGTTTAAATTTAGCCACAGCCCATGTGAAAAGTGGCACATAATATCCTTGCAGTTTCTGATACTATATCTGGAAAATTCTCGATTGTCAACTGTCTGCTTTTTTGTTACAGCAAAAGGTTGATGTGTTTTTGACACCCCTTGCACAGCTAATTTTAAAATGAAACTTAGGCTCCAGGCCTCTTACTGCAGCACAACTACAACCTTTATTTTGTTAAGTTTGTGACCAATCAATTTTCATTCACAGTACACAATACGGATGTATCCTTACATGATGCCTTAGTGTAACTGGGTCTCTCACAGCAGTGCTGAAGGGATTCATAATATATTGTTGATTATTTCAAATTTTAAACACTGTACCTGGTTGATCATCAGGCTGGGATACTGCAAGTATGAGATAATCTGATAATTGTTTCCACGTTATGCTATGTAGTTTCTCTAAAAATTCCATGGTCAACTTTTCTTTTTGTTTTTTAGCTGCTGATGAAATCTTTGACACCATGACTGACACATCGAACATGAATACATTCACAAGGAGGGACCATGTGTTCATCAAACTAAACTTCCTGCTACAAAGGGCGACTGTCAGTTTGCTCAAACATGATAAAGACATGGGCCTTGATGAGACAGAGACAGCCTTTGTGGACTTGGAATTTTCGGGTAATTTATGTAGATGCTTGGGTTGCAAAGAAACTCTGGAGCCATTTTAGTTATTTATTTATTGTGAATCCTTGTTGAAAGACCAACTCTCCTAATGTAGAGCACCACTAACAATGTCGCTAAAAGGAAGAAAAATTAAAGGATAAAGTAAAAGTGATGCTTATGTGATCTCAAGACTGGATTTTAAACCTTAAGTGATGATAGTAGAAAAGGCAGGCATTTACAGCTAAGTGATACATATGTTACAATATCCCTGACTACATGAATGTCACTTAACTCTGAGTGCAGGCCATTAATCATGAATATTAATTATCTAACCAGTTGTGATGGCGTGTTCGAGGCATTTACCCTAAGGCCAGCCTGATCTTATTGATCAAATTTTAAAAATCAGGGCATATTCATTTAAGATACATAAGGAAACAATTTTTTCTGAGTCTTTGGAATTCCCTTTCTTTAAAAGGCAGTAGATGCAGAATCTTAAATACTCTTAAGGCAACGGTAGATAGATACTCGGTTACCAAGGGGATAAAAGATTACTGGTGAGATGCAATAATCTAATTAAAATCAGACATGCCATGATCTTAATGAATGGTGGAGCATGCTCAGAGGGCCAAGTGCCTTCTCTTGTACCTTGTTTGTGCATTTGTACATAGCTGAGAGATGCAGGAAAGAAAAGAAAGGGAAAGTGTTTCGGTTCCCACCTTGTATTTGGTGAGCGTGATGGCATGCCTATGATTGTGAAGTTGGATTTGCAGCTTTCCACTTGTCACTATTAAATATTTTGCTACTCCAGTTGCTTGAACCTTCCCTTTTAAAAATAAATCTTCATTCCTTTTCATTTTACAGTACGGTAACTTTTAGAAACTAGTACAAACTTTATTAGCTCAGCATAGAAACCTTGGAGAAAAGAGGATGGATTATATTTAGGGATGTCCGTTAACCATCTTGTCCGTTTTGGTTTGAGGAAATTGTTCTGAAAGTGCAGAAACATTCGATTTTAATGAAACATTTTAAAATCCTGGGATGGGAGAAACAATTACAATGTTTTGTTCAACCTTTTCAGGAGTGAAAATTGGCGTGGAGTCCTCCCCTCGCACAGAGTCATCTTTGTTCTCCGTACAGCTGGGAGGCCTGTTCCTGCGAGACTTGGCAACACAAGGATCCTTATTCCCTGTCCTAGTTTCACCCAAACCGGTAGGTGTCAATACACAGCAGTTATGTTTGAGTCTGTAATTTCCCTGTGTTTTCTCTGTAGCCCGACAATTTTTTTTCTCTCAGATAGTTATCCAATACATTTGTGAAAGCAACATATTCGTAAGAGGTACATTTTACATCCAAACTACATACTACATAAAAGGAAATTTTCAGCTGGTCATCTTTATTTCTTTTTCCTGTTTTCCTTAACTCAATGACTTCTGGCTCTTAACCCTTCAGCCAATGGAAGCAGTTCTCACAATCTCCACTATCCAAATAACTCCTGATTTTGAACACTTCTATCAAATTTCATGTTAATCTTCTTCGAGAACAACCGTAACTTCTCCAGTCTGACCTCTTAAGTAAAGTCTCCAATTCCTGGAACCATTCTTGTAAATCTTTTCTCCACCCACTCTATTGCCACCACCTTCATTTCTCTTCTCACACCTACTGGAATTGGGGAAGACAAAGCAGTGCTTACCTCTGTTAGAATTTTCATGGAAGCTTATCGCCAGATATTGTAGCTTTAGGGATGTCACTCCATGTCAAACATGGCTGACTAGGAGACTACTTCCTGTATTGGAAGGTCTAACAATTTGATAACTAACCTGCTTTGCCATGTTATAAACATACCTTCCACGATCATCAAGTCCTGACGTAGAACTCAAATCCAGAGCCACCGCCACCACAACACACTCTTGCGGCCCCCCCCCCCACTACACACACCAAAAAAAATTGCCTTCACGTTGCTTAAAATGTGTTGTGTCCAGAATTATATTAGTACTGGTACAATTCTCCAGTTCAGATAGATCCGTGTATCGTTGCTTCCTTAGTATTGTAGCCTATGCCTTTATTTATAAAACACAGGACCCTGTACGGTTCTTGAACTTCTTGCTCAACCAATTTGTGCACACATGCCCCAGGTCTCTCTACTCCTACATTCCCTTTGATCAATGTAAGTTTCTTCTCCCTCTCAACAATGACTGGGTCTTTTTATTATCTTGATCCCACTATCTGGAATTCTAATCTTTAAATCCTGGTCTGTTGCTGCATCTTAGCTCGCTTTCAAGAGTATCTTTGGCCAACTCTTGATTGATTTATTGACGTATACCGAAATATAGTGGACAGCTTTGTTTAAGAGTGATCAGGCAGATCATAGGAAGCAAAGGATGTACAGGTCAAAAAAGACGTAGGCGGAGGCACACAGATTACACTCCACAGGGCATCCACTAGGCAAGATCAATGTTAGCAAGATTTGAGGCTGAAGAGTCCATTCATCAGCCTAAAAATGGCCAGGAAGAAGCTGTGCCTGAACCTGCTCGTGTGTTTGTTCAGGCTTCTGTATCCTCTGCCTGACGGAAGAGGTTGTAGGAGGTCATTACCAGGCTGCTACGGGTCTTTGATGTTGGCAGCTTTTCCGTGGCAGCGAGCTGTGTAAATGGAGTCCATGGATGGAATTTGGCTTCCGTGATGGTCTGGGCTGTGCCCACCACCTTCTGTAGTTTATTACAGTCCTGGGCGGAGCAGTTGCCATACCAGGCTGTTACGCACCCGGACGATATGCTTTCAATGGTGCATCTGTAGAAGTTGGAGAGGGACCTTATGGACATGCCAAATTTCCTGAGCTGCCTGAGGAAGAAGAGATGTTGTTATGCTTTCTTGACTGTCGCATCTACGTGGGAAGTCCAGGACAGGTCCTCAGTTATCGTCACTCTGAGGAACTTGCTACTCTTCACCCTCTCTTCACCCTCAGTTCCGTTGATGAAGATGGGGACGGGTTCTCCTCCTTTCTTTCTGAAGTCAATGATCAGTTCTTTAGTTTTGCTGACGTGGAGAGACAGCTTGTTTTCATCGCACCACGTCACCAAACCCTCTATCTCCCTTCTGTAGTTTGACTTGTCGTTAAATATCTGTCCCACTACGGTGGTGACATCAGCGAATTTGTAAATAGTGTTCGTTCAGATTTCGGCAACACAGTCGTTGGTATGCAGGGGGTACAGCAGGGGGCTGAGGATGCATCCTTGCGGGGCTCCAGTCTTGCATGTTATTGTGGAAAAGGTGCACTTACCAATTTTCACTGATTGCGGTCTGTGGGTCAGAAAGCTGAGGATCCAGTTGCAGAGAGTGGAGCTGAGAGCAAGGTCACAGTTTTGAGATCAGTCTGGAGGGGATTATGGTGTTGAAGGTGGAGCAGTAGTCAATGAGCTAGAGTCTGGCGTGGGTGTTTTTGTCCAAATGTTCCAGGGATGAGTGCAGGGCTAGGGATGTCGCATCCTCTGTGAACCTGTTACGTCAATAGGCAAGCTGGGAGACTGGAGTTGATGTGGTCTGTGACCAGCCTCTCGAAGCACTTCATGGTTATTGAGCTGTTATTTCTTCCTCCCTAGTCATACTAATGTTTGAGTCACCTTTGTGAAAAGTCTTGGAATGTTTATTTTTGCTAAAGTTATTATGTACATGAAAATTAATGTTGTATGTATAATCTTTGCAATAGGCTCATGATGTAGCTGATAAAAGTGTTCATAAAGACTTTCTTGTATGCATTTGTCCCAGGAAATGTTCGTTTTATCATCTATATTGATTTGTTTATACTCCGAGCCAAATCTCAAAATTGGTGCATGGATTTTAGCAGCGTTTATTGGGATATAGTTGGATTCAAGTCCAGGGACTGAATCAGTTGATGTTGTGGAAACGTAGACTAGGGTCAGCTTTTATAACAACAATTGAAAATTTTTTCAATTGTATTGAGTTATATTTAATGATAAATTTGTAGGATTTCTCCCTTTGTATTCCATTGTTTAGATCTTTCTAGGAGAAGGAAGTGAAATGTCGCAGCAAGATGCAATCAGCTTGATTTGCATTAACTCCTGTTGTTCTATCTGAATGGAATCATAGATTAGTAACGGAGAACAGTGAGCCATGTAAAGAATTGAATCTGTATGAATCCTTTCTGTTTCAGGAAAAAGATGCTGCAACCTTATCTCAAACATTGGGTTTACGCTCCACATTATCTGAGGCAACAGGTATGCATCCGGGTGGCATTATGCTAGAATATTAATTTTCCTTTTCATGACTGAGAAATATAGATAAAAGCCATTTAAAGTTAAGAATTAGGCACCAGAAATCGCCAATTTAACGCTAGTATCAGAAGTAGTTTTCTGAGATGTGCCCTATCCTGAATTGTTATGAGGGAATGTTAAGGAGAGAAAATCAGTTTATGAAGTACATACAATATGACTCTGACTTAAATTTATTTAAACCAAAAATTTTTTTTAATCTTTTTTAACTTTTCACAAATTATTTTTGAAAGAAGGAGCGTTGGGAATGTCGAAATTGGTGCTGTTAAGGATCACCTTCGTGCTTTGGACTTGTACTTTGTGATTCAATACAGCATGTTCTGTTGAACAGATTTTCCATAATGAAGAGATAGCACCAGTGCTGGCAAACATTGTGAGCATCATATTGCACAAGGCATTGTTGTTTTTTTGGAGTTGGACAAATATTGCTTCTTATATTTTACAGCTTTTGGCTCGCTATGTAAGATGCCATCTGTATTTGAAATGGTTTACGAAAAAAATCCGATTCGCAGTAACTACGAGAGGAGATTGGAAGTCAGCACTCGGCCTCTTAATATCATCTACAACCCTCTAGTAATCAAGAAAGTTGCAGATTTCTTCTACAAGGGCAAAGTTCATACCTCAGGTCAGGAAAAAAGAATGAAGTAAATTCAATGGTATTTCCCAATAAGCAATAGAGGATGATTTTAACTGTTGATCCACATCTTCAGCAAATCACAGCTTGCATTTGTAATTACATTTGTAGTTACAGCTAGGGGAGAAAGTCAGCCAATTTTCCCAGTTTTACGGTGAGGAAAGCACCAAGCTTAGCTATAAAAAGTATATAACCTGTTCTTTTTTTAAATTCCTACAGTGTGGAAACAGGCCATTTGGCCCAATAAGTCCACACCAAACCTCCGAAGAGCATCCCACCAGACCCATCCCCTCTGCAAGCCTGCATTTGCCATGATAACACATCTAACCTACACATCCTTGAACACTATGGATAATTTAGCAGGGCCAATCCACCTAACCTGCACATCTTTGGACTCAGGAAGCCAGACCACCCGGCAGAAACCCATACAGGCACGAGGAGAACACGCAAACTCCACATAGACAGTTGGCCAAGGCTGGAATCGAATCGCTGACTCTGTGAGGCAGCACTGCTAACCACTGAGCCACCATGCCACCCCAAAATCCAGCTCTCCCCTTCAGTACTGTTAACTGTTATCTTAGTAAAACTGCATGTCTGACATTAATTTTGGATCAGCCGTAATTTCTCCCTAATAACTGAACCTGGTTATGATGAACGCTTGTATTTTTGGCCCCAGACATAAACTTTGAGTCCTTTACCAACTTCATCCATCTTTCCAGCACAGTCTTGTGTTAAAGTAGACTGGAAAGACCTCAACTATTCAAACCTGAGTAGAATTTCAAATCCCATATTCTCTCTGAGGCGAAGACTACCTGTTTCCTTCGCTGTAACATTTCCCACTAGCCTTCCTTGCTTCAGACCATCTGTTGCTGAAATCTTCAGTAAGGATTTGCCATTGTCAGACCCACTAATACAAGCTCTCCTTCTTAGCCCTCTCCCTGTGTAAGTTTGTTCTTGCCCAATCCTCTGCCTCTATTCTATCTCCTAGCAAGTTGCGATCATCCATTATTCTGCCGTTATTGACTTTGATTGGCTTCTGCTCCTACGATGCTTCAGACTTACAATTTGCAATCTTGTGCTTACCTCCCTCTAGACCTAACTCTGTAACATGCTCTAGATCCACAGCTCCCTTTGTATTTTAATTCTTGCCTCTAATTCCTCTCATCACTCATTATTTGCTATGCCTTTAGCTGTTTAGAAGGGGGCTTATGTTATGAACTTCCATCCATTAGTATGCTTAAATCCCACTTCTTCAACCAATGTCTTTATTTCTCACACAATATTTCCTTTGGTACCTACTGATTTCTCTCACTTTTGGAGGTTTCCATGGAAGGTGTTAAGTAACTGAAGCTTTTTTTTTGTAGCTGTCCTTCCGTATATCCTGTTAAGAGTTCTTGTCATTTGTAAGCATGCCAACTTGGGTGAAGTTCTGTAGGATTTCCAGCATTTCCAGAACAATATTCTGGTGAGAAGTTGATGCCATGTAATGAAGGATGAAAATGTAGAAACAAAAAAATTATATTTTAAACTATTCAATGTTTTTTTTTCAGGTTTTGTTCTGGGGGTAGTAATGTTTTTAAGCCTGTTGCCTATGCTAACATTGCTTAGGAATAAGGGAGAGGTTTCAGTAAGGAAAAGAAGCTACAATATAAACAGTGTTCTCCCACAATGTGAACTACAAGAAGAAGAAATAGAATATAGAACAGTTACAGCATAGAAACAGCCCTTCGGCCCACAATGTTGTGCTGAACATGACGCCAAATTAAACTAATCCCTTCTGCCTGCCCTTGGTCACTATCCCTCTGTTCCTTGCATATTCATGGACTTATCTAAAAGTCTCTTAAATGCACCTTTCATATCTGCCTCCACCACTATCCCTGGCAGCATATTTCACACTCCTACCACTCTCTGTTTTAAAAAAAAACTGCCCCTCGCATCTGCTTTGAACCTTAGATGCATGCTCGCTAGTTTTAGACATTTCAACTCTGGGAAAAAGATTCTCACTGTCAATGCTATCTGTGCATCTCATAATTTTATAGATTTCTATCAGGCCTCCCCTCAGCCTCTGCCGCTCCAGAGAAAACAACCTGAGTTTTTCTAGTCTCTCCTATAGTTCATACCCTCTAATCCTGGTAGCATTCTGGTGAACCTCTTCTGCACCGTCTCCAAAGCCTCCACATCCTTCAAGTAATGTGGCAACCAGAATTGAATGCAGCATTCTAAGTGTGGCTTAAACAAAGTCTTATAAAGCTGCAACATGATACCCTAACTTTTGTACTCAATTCCCCGACCAATAAAGGCAAGCATGCCATACACCACCTTTACTACTCTGTCTACTTGTGTGGCCACTTGCAGGGAGCTATGGACTTGAATTCCAAGATCCCCTTGTATATCAATGCTGTTCAGAGTCCTGCCATTAACTGTATACTTTTCCTTGACATTTGATCTCCCAAAATGCAGCACCTCACACTTAGACTCCATCTGCCATTTCTCCACCCAAATGTGCAACTGATCTATATCCTGCTGTATCCTTTGACAGCCTTCTGCACTATCCACAACTCTACTGATTTTTGTTTCAGCTGCAAACTTAGTAACCCACCCACCTACCTTAAGCACTCATTTAGGATCTCACGCACATCCTCTGCCTCAAAACACCAGTCCCCTCCTTTTATCCTGAAGTGGTCCTACATTCTCCCTAGTTATCCTCTTGTTTTTAATGTATGAGTAGAATGCCTTGGGATACTCTTTAACCCTATTTGCCAAGGTCATTTTGTGGCCCCTTCTTGCTCTCCTAATTCCTTGCTTGAGTTCCTTCCTGCTTTCTTTTATATTCCTCACGGGCCCTGTCCGATATTAGTTTCCGGAACCTTGCATATGCTTCTTTGCACTTTTTGACTAAATTCATAACCTCCCTCTTTGTCCAAAGATCCCTTACCTTGCCATCCTTGTCCTTCCTCCTTACTGAAACATACCAGTCCTGAACTCTCATCAGGTCTTAAACGATTTCCACATGTCAAATGTGGACTTGGCTGGTAGCAGCTCCTCCCAGTTAACACTCCCTAGCTCCTGCCTAATACTGCTGTAATTTGCCCTCCCCCCGATTTAGTACCTTGCCATAAGGTCCTTATTCATAGCTGTCTTAAAACTTAAGGAGTTGTGATTACTGTTTCCAAAATGCTCTCCCACTGAAAGGTCAGTTGCCTGGCCAAGCTCATTAGCCAGTACAAGGTCCAGTATGGTCCCTCTCGTTGGACGATCCAAATACTGTTTGAAGAAACCCTCTTGGATGCACTTTTTTTCCCTTTATTCATTGACGGGATGAGGATGTCACTGGTTAGGCAGCATTTATTGCCCATCCCTAATTGCCCAGAGGGCAGTTAAGAGTCAACCGCATTGTTGTGGGTCTGGAGTCACATGTAGGCCAGATTGCAGTTTCCTTCCCTAAAGGACATTAGTGAACCAGATGGATTTTTCCTGACAATCGACAATGGATTCACGGTCATCATTAGATTGTTAATTCCAGATATTTATTGAATTCAAATTCCACCATCTGCCGTGGCAGGTTTCGAACCCTGGTCTCCAGGACGTTATCTGGGTCTCGGGATTAACAGTCCAGTGATAATACTACTGGGCCATTGCCTCCCCATAACAACTTAACAAATCTGCTGCGTCCAAGCCTCTTGCTCCAAGGGAGTCCCAGACAATATTGGGGAAGTTAAAGTCACCCACAGTGACAACTCTGTTTTTATTGCACCTTTCCATAATTTGCCTACATATTTGTACCTCAATGCCTGGGTTGCTGTTGGGGAGCCTATAGTATAATCCTATCGGAGTGATTGCACCCATCTTATTTTTGAGCTGTATCCATATTGCCTCAGTGGATCAGCCCTCCAGTACGTCCTCTCTGGGTGCAGATGTAACATTCCCCCTGATTAGTGATGCAATTCCTCCACCTCTTTTACCTTTCTCTCTATCTCATCTAAAACAATGAAACCCTGGAACATTACTTTGAGCAGCCAGTCCTGTCCCTCTCTCAACCAAGTCTTTGTAATGGCCACAACATCATAGTCCCATGTACTGACACCGGCTCTAAGCTCATCTGTGTTACCTATAATATTCCTTGTATTGAAATAAACACATTTCAGCCCATTAGTACCATTGTATTCATTTACCTATCTCTGCCTGTCCTTTCTTTCTTATTTGTTGGTCCTAACACGTACCTTCTCCTCATTCCCTCCACTTGCTGACCTGGTGCTCTGGTTTCCAGCCCCCTGCCAGTTTAGTTTAGATTACCTGAGAAGGGCAAGATATTCTGATATTCCATAAATAGGGTTTGTTTAGAAGAAAGCTCATCCAACTGTTTATTTTCCTTTTTGTACTTGCATTAAATCACGCTGCATTTTTTGTCTTAGTTTGTTAATTAGAATCTGGAGCTTTCAAAATGATACCTTTTGACATTAGGTTATGGATTTCTTTTCCCCACTTTAATAGGCTTTGGCTACCAGTCAGAGCTTGAACTACGGGTAGCGGAAGCTGCTAGACGGCAGTACAACAAATTGAAAATGCAAACAAAGGCTGAAATCAGGCAAACCATTGACCAGCTTCTGGTGGGCGAATTCATTGTAAGTTGCATTCTACATTTTCTAAAATGTGCTGCAGTAATTTTTAAAATTTGATCAATCTGTTCAGATGTTATTACACATCTCTGGAGCAGGTGGGACTTAAACTCAGGCCTCCCAGACCAGGAGTAGGGACACTACCACTGCTCCACAAGCAGGTTACACTAATTTTTAATAGAAATGTATAATTTAAGCAATTGCTTTCATTGTTGCTGCACCTCTATTCCAAATAGACCGCCTCACAAATTCTTCTTATCACACTTATTCTGAAATTAAGTGATAAACTTTTTTTTGATGAGTTGGATAGCAAACTTCATCAGTTAGAGTGGCTATTCAGAATTCATGATCCAAGGCATTTCCGACCAATTAAATTCATGGATGCTAAGTCATACAGTTGATGAATCTAGTTTAATGGTCCAATGTAATATCAATTCTTGTCATGCCATGTTCTGTTCCAGCATTGTGCTGTATTTCAATTCCTTATTATCAGATATCAAAGTATTAAGACCAGTCTGACCTTTTATAAATGCCACCTAAGTTGTCAAATTAAAATGAGCATCCTTTGAATAGAGCCTTTACCACATTTTTGACTAGATATAATGCTGTACAATGTTAAAATTATCTATCTTGAAATGCAAGGTCTTCCTATGATGGACATGGCTGTTGGACGAATATTAAATTCACTATACGTTCATGACTTGTGTTGTATCAAGTCTGGGATAATTATTCAGAATGAAGTAGGAAAGACGGAATAGACTTTATCCACCATAGTTATAATAAATTGCAAATGTAGCATTGTCCCATCTGTGACGATGTACTAGTTTCCATTAAACTGGATTAGGGCCTATTCTAGTAAGCAGTTAATTCTGGCTAGGGATAGCCACCGTAGTTACAGAACTGATCCTATAAGATTGGGTTAACAAGAATTCCACTTGAAGGGCAGATCCCCTCAATTGAATTAAGTATTACTGAGGGTTGCCTGACTGCATTTCGGCCAATCTCCAATTTGGGAGTGAGTGTGGATTGGGGCAAACTGTGATTACAGGGTACTTTCCTCACCTGTTGTGTGCAGCAAGGTCAAAACTACATAACAAGGGATTTACAAGCAACTCACAGATTGGTTATTCTACTTGTGCTACAGGAGCTCATGCAAAGAATTGGGTACTACATTTTTAAACATCTTGGAATTTTCTGCCCTTAGTCATAAGGTCAGTGGGAGGTTTCAACAGGAAAAATTGGCACATAACAGTGTTATCTAAAGATATTAATGGAAATTTTTGTTTTTGGTAGGAAAATGACAAACGCTGGATGATGAAATTAGATATCTCCGCTCCTCAGGTGATTTTCCCCGATGATTTCAAATCCCCAGATTCCGTACTTGTTGTTGTGGATTTAGGTCGAATTCTGCTGACGAATATCGGAGGTAAACTTTCTTCAGTCAGTTATCAATGTCTCTCCTAGTAAGAGTCACTTGGAGTTCTTAATGACATTGTGGATGAGTGCTCTGTTTAACAGGTTATGAGCTATTCACTAGATCAGCTTCATTTGTTTCCATGTAACGGTTAATGGGCTGTGCATCAGACCATAGTGGTATTTAAGGAGATGGGGATCTTCCCTGCTGACAGGAGAGTTGGTGATGTCCCTGTCTCATATCTTTTTGGGAATTGAATGCCTGAGTCTGTCAAATAAAGTGCCAATTAGGCATGTGATTGAGTAGGGGGAGAGCACGTATTTCATCTCAGTTTTCTGTTAAATCTATATAAGCACATCAGGGTTCATTCAACATATAGATACTGGTGGGTTTACCAAGAAAATAATTGCTGGGAAAATACGAGTTGCTCGCCACCTGAAAGATAGATTAACATTTGAATTAAAGAAGATTGTGCTTGAAATGTTGGCCTGTCTTTCTTTGAGATGTTCATCTGTTGTAGCTCTTCATTTGTAGCATTTTAGCTTTAATTTAAGATTTCTCATTGTCCTCTTAAATCCATTCTTTGTATTTACAGATGAGCCAAAAGGTAGAGGCAATGGAGGATCTTCAGTCCAAGACGAAGAGATCAGTGATGACGAGTACAAGACGCCACTAGCCACGCCACCCAACACCCCTCCTCCAGAGCCCAGTTCTGATCCTGGAACAAAGACCCCAGAATTCCTGACTTTAGGATTTACTGAGGAACAACTGCAGCAACATTTTATCAACAATAAGCTGTATGAGAAATACTGTCTATCCTTCATGGACATGCAGATCATGGTTGGGCGAGTCATGGACAATTGGAAGCATGTTCAGGACAGCGAAGTTGGGCCAACTCACGTCGTTGAGAAATTTAATGTGCTGTTACAGCTAGAACGGCGGTTAATGTACACCTCTGATCCAAATCGTCCTGGTGCGATGCTGTCTGGGACCTTGCCTGAGCTGAAAATACACGTGAATGAGGATAAAATTACAGCATTGCACAACTTTTTGTTGAGGGTGACTGCTTCTGAGGTGCAGCAGAAAATAGGTGAGCAGCAATCTCTGCGACGAGAAAAAATCTTTAAGAAGGTGGATAGCCGAGGGAAGCTGCTGGATTCAAAGATGAGCCTGACACAGAGCGTAATGTCACTTGAGCAGCATACTCGTGAGGTATTGGTGGAGTCCAAACTACTCCTAGCAGAATTCAAAGTCAATTACATGCAGCTGGGAGTTGAGAGTTGTGGACGATACATCTCTGTATTGAAAGTTTTTGGCATCAACTCCAACTTTGTGAAGAGGCCCTATGACAGTGAAGTGACACTTACTGTACATGGATTATTGTTGGTGGACACTGTCCAAACCTATGGTTCAGACTTTGACTTGCTGATGGCTTCCCACAAAAATTTGAGTTTTGATGTTCCCACTGGCAGTCTTCGAGATAGTGGAGCACAATCCCCTGTCTCTCCTCACTCGTCTATTGCTACATCAGTCAATGGTACCTCACTGGATAAGAATAAGAACACACTAAGCAACACTTCAGCATTAGAAGAGCAAGTCACTGCATCCTGTCCTGCTCAGGACCAGGATGTCCTAATTAAACTGGAATATCAATTTGTGAGCTCTGACTGCCCATCTATGAACTTGGACAGCTCCTTACAGGTCATGTCATTGCAAGTTAATAATCTGGACATCATCCTTAATCCAGAAACCATGGTAGAACTCATTGGCTTCTTACAGAAATCCTTTCCAAAAGGCAAAGAAGATGCAAGTCCACAGCCGTCACTTGTAGATCCAGCAATGAGTTTTGAGGACCGAGAATCCATTCAGTCTACCTATGATCAGAACACACAGGTGGCAGTAGAAATCCATCGGCTCAATATACTGCTCCTCCGGACTGTTGGGCTTGCAAGTGGAGAGAAATTGGGAAGAAAAATTGCTACAGCTAGTATTAATGGCACAAAGGTAAATGTTTCCATGGGTAGCCGATTTGAAATGCATGGGTCTCTTGGCTGTCTTCAACTTGTAGATTTGACCCAGGATGAAGTAAAGAACCATTTTGTGGTGAGCATTGGAAATACAGAAGCATATGAAGCAGTAAGTGACTTGGGTTTCTTTCAGTCGGTTTTCATGAGGCCTGAAACTGAGATGAACCACAGCGAAGCACTGAGCTTTAAATTTATCGAACAGTCAGAGGAAGAGTTTTTGCTGAATCTGCACATGGCGTCATTACATTATAACCATTCCCCAAAAATTCTTAAAGAACTCACCTTATCTATGGATGAACTCGAAGATAACTTCCAAAACATGTTGAAGAGTGCAGCGTCCAAAGTTTCTACTGTCCTGGTAAACAAAACAGCAGAGTACAGTGAGATGGTTTTGCTTTTCGAGAAACCACGGAAGGCACGGGACACGTTTGGTTTTGAGCTTGAAGATGATGTAGATGGTGGGATGGTATCTCCTCAACAGAACCCAGTAAAATTAATTTTGAACATTAACATCGAGTCACCAGTAGTCACAGTCCCACGGAAACCTGGAAGCTCTGAGTTGTTGGTTGGGCACTTAGGCCGGACTTCAATCCAGAACTTTGTGACGGGCGAGGATGATTCTGGGAGAAACCGGCTGCAGGTTGAAATTAAAGACATTAAATTGTATTCCCTGAATAACAATATACGAGGCTGCAAGCCAGATGCCAGCGAGTCCTCTCGGCCAAGTTCAGGTGCTGCCAGTGTCTCCAGCCAGGAAGAACTGCACTTCACACGGCAAGATTTCTTCAATTCCGTGCACAAGGGTCAAGGTCAGTTCACAGTACACAACTATTTTTGTTTTATGCAAGCCAAATCTGAGTGAAGTCACTGTTCCCTAGTGGCTTAGTCAAACAATGCACTGCCCACTGTGAATATGAATCTTAGAGCCCAAGAAGCTGTTTTGGCTTTATTGTGTGTGGGAATGTTGAGAGTGGACTCGGGCAGACTTGACTGTGAGCTTTTCCTGACTGACATTCAAAGTCTTTGAAGTGTGGAATGGCCACTTACTTGGACACTGCAGAGTGTCTCACCTCAATGGAAATATGGAGAGAAAATTGAGATTTTATTTCAAAATGAACCACTGAAGTAATCATTTAATGCTAATTGGTGCTCAAGAATACCTACTTCTAGTTAAAGAACACTACTTCATTTGGTGGAGTTGTACTACCTTCATATTCTTAATTTCTCTTTCCAGCCTTTCATATCTTGAATGACACCACAATTCAGTTTATTTTGGAGAAAATTCCAGTTGAGTCAAATCCAGGTTCGTCTTTCCCAGTTGAAAATTCTTCAGATTCCTTTGAGACCACCAGTAAGATGAAGATTGAGGGAAAATTTGTCAATCCTCTTAAGGTAAAGTATCAGGGTCATTCCAGTTTCTGCAGATTACATTTGTAATTAGTTTTCTAATTGTGTGGAGGCAGCCTCAATGCAAAACTATATTATTTCCTGTGAAATGAATGGAATCTATCGCTACCTTTTGAGCCTCATTAGAATTTTTGTGCATTCCTCTTTTATGCTCGAGTTAATTGTCAGTAATCGTTCCCTTTACTGGTTGTCATAACTTCCTTTCAGTAGTGTTTCTGCGCTGCCAAACGTCACATTGTAATGTAATCCAGGGTCATAGCAGTAGCACCCTGCATTTGGAATTTGATTTTGTACTTGTCCTCACATACACCTATCGAAATTTTGATAGCTGGTTTGAGAGATTGAATGAAACAACAGAATTGTTACTATGCTCTAATTATAGATAGTGAGTAATTTTCAGAGTACCATCCATAATAAAACTGTACCTTTATCGAGCTGTTTTATTCCCTCCTGAAAGAATATACTAAAATATATCATTGATCTTTATAGCAACCTAAAAGAAATCCTCTTTTTCATGGCTGTCTTTCCAGCTGGAATCTGGCCAGTCACTTAACTAAAGGTAGCTTAGCCTACTGCTTACTTGCTAACAGATCTTATTGTTTCATGTTCCAGATGAACAGCAGCACAGTGGCTCAGTGGTTAGCACCGCCGTCTCTCAGCGCCAGGGATCTGGGTTCAATGACAGCCTCGGGTGACTGTCTGTGTGGAGTTTGCACGTTTCCCCGTGTCTGCATGGGTTTTCTCCGGGTGCTCCAGCTTCTTCCCACAGTCCAAAGCTATGAACATTACATGGCTGGCCATGCTAAATTGCTCTGTAGTGTTCAGGGTTGTGCAGGAAAAGTGGATTAGGGTTACAGGGATAGGGTGGGTCTGGGTGCAGTGCTCTTTGGAGGGGCAGTATGGACTCAATGGGTTGAATGATCTACTTCCACACTGTAGGGATTCTATTATTCTAAAGAGCAATGGAATTGGCAAAAAGATCATCTACGCATGCTTGTTGCCAGTACTGGTACTAGTGCTACTCTTCCACCCCAACAACCCAGTTATGAATCCCTAAAAAGCAACCTAAGTTGGAACATCAACTGCTGGAAACGTTCAGCAGGTCAGACAGCATCTCTGGAAAGAGGAAGATGGTGGTTATTATTTTGAATCAGTGACAGTTTGTCAGGCACTCCTATTAAAATGAGTGCCAGTGATTTGATATAGTGTAACTGCAGAATAGTCAAACCCAAGGACAGATGTAATTTTGTGTAATTGTTTCTATTCTATACAGGTAATGTTGGCAAAACACGTTTATGAACAGGTCCTACAGACACTGGACAACCTGACATACAGTGAGGATCTCAGCAAAACTCCACATGGTTCAACCACTGCCACACCAGAATCTCTCAATACTACTTCTACGTTGAGAAGCCCAAAATTCTCTGATCTCCAACGAGAGTGGAAAGGGAGTGGGCTTTTTGGCCAAGTGAGCTACCCATCAACTCCAGTTGATTTTCCAGTTCCGGAGTCAAGATCGTTCACTCAAATTCATGCTAATTTCTGCATCTCTGAGCTGCAGGTTCAGCTGTGTGGGGATCTCACTCTAGAATCGCAAGGATTGGTTAGTTTAACATTTCAAGACTTTGAAGTTGACTTCACTAAAGACCACCCTCATACGCTCGCCATCCAGATCACTCTGCGGTCGCTGCTGATGGAGGATTTGTTGGAAAAGAATCCAGACTCAAAATATAAACATCTAATGGTGTCTAGAGGAGCACCGAAACCTTCCAGTTTCACTCAAAAAGAATACCTGTCGCAGTCTTGTCCATCTGTCTCCAACATAGAATATCCTGAAATGCCCCGATCCCTTCCAGCTCACGTAGAAGAAGCACAAAACGTCTTCCAGTTTTACCAGAGGCCAATCTCTACACGAAGAAAGCGAAACATGGACAAAAACATAGAGTATCCTATGACCCCGCCGCCATCCCCAACATTGAAAAGCTCCAAGTTGCACTGTACTAGAACAAATTTTGACGAATCATTAGTGCATATTAATGTTTTTCTGGTGGATAAGAAGCATCCGGAATTTTCCACACGTTACAACAAGGTCAACAGAAGTGTAGATGTAGATTTCAACTGTTTGGATGTGTTAATCACACTTCAAACCTGGGTGATGATTTTGGATTTCTTTGGGATTGGCTCAACGGCTAACAACCATGGCTTGAAACCTCCTGTGGAGGAGCTCCAGCATCAACCAACATCCAGTGGATCAGGTGCTCCATCTGAGGCAGGCCAGGAGGAACCAGTCAACACAAAATTGGATCTGAAGGTTGTTGTGCATTTTATTTCTTAGCTGGGCATTAATTGTACTGAAACTAATTGAGAGGGATTCTGGCAGATGTGCATGATTTAAGTACATGTACGTAGACATACAGTGTTTCTTGCAGAAATACCTTTGTTGGAGTTATAACGCAGTTTGTTTAAAGGAGCATTCTGCATAAGACATTAAGATTGTTGACCTCCAAATTATAATTTTTTTTGACACAATTGCCTGTTGTGAACAGGCCAGGGTAGCAACTGGATTATTACACACATTTCCTATCTGTTGACATATCTTGATATGTCTGCTCACTAATGTGTGGGTTCAAGCAAATTTGTAGAATGTAATTCCTGCATTTATATCCTTACAGCAGTAGATGCAAAGGACAATTGTGCAATCAATTATACAGGAATCAATTGATATCTTTTCAGTGGTCTGTCAGTACTGAGGCTGGGCTCCATTTCAGAGCATCTTCCTCCTGCTCTCCAGCTTGAGACTAGCAGTTCAGTTATTGTAGATCTGTTTAATACACACGAATGGCCTTAAAGAAAGTAGGTAAAGATCAGTTACAGTGCAGCTGAGATTCTATTCTACCCATAAATGTGGTGGCAGATCCAATTGTTGTACCTTGCATAATGTTTCCTAAAATGTTTTAAAGGTTGCAGATGCCCCAGAGGGTAAACAAATGCCAGGAATTTTGATTTGTTAGAAAGACCCGTTCAGTCATTGCAGTCATGTTTACTGAGGTTTGAGGTTGATATAACACGTGATTGTATGTTGTCCTTTCCTGCTGCTTTTCCTAATCAATTTTCCTATATCACTCATCATGATTTCTTTGGAGTTTTAGTTGCGACTGATTCACTACATCAGTAGTGTGTAACCTACAGGCCCCTAAGTCCTGAAAATGTGGATCCTGACTCCTGCATCAGTTTTCCAGGCTTTCTTTTTTCTTAATTGCTGGGTTTTGATGGGTCTGCAAGTTTGGAAAGATAGTTCTTAGCATTGCTATCTAATTAACAACTTATGCATCAGAAACCGATATGTTAGTTGAAGACAATGATTGTATAAGCAAATTAATGATAACGGCATTTCTGTTCAAGTGTTGCCTCCAAAGACAATAGCTGGAAAACCCATGCCATTATCCAATGGAATGATTTTATTTTCCTCGCAGGTTCACTCCCTGTCTCTGGTATTGAATAAGAAGACAAATGAACTTGCCAAAGCTAATGTATCAAAACTGTCAGCACATCTTGCACTGATTGGTGAGTCCTATACTATTCTGAGAGTTTTGAAGCAGTATAGTATGAACACATGAATTTTGGGTTAAATATGCATGTGTTAGGAGGGGAGATATCTTTGAATGACCACTAACACACAGTTGCTCTTTACAGGTATAATTAAAAACCACAGGTACATAACAGCAAAATTTGGTACATCAAGGTTTGGCATTGTAATCTACCATGTTTTTGTAGGACATAAGTAAAGTGCCCATCTAGTTGCGACATAATCCACCAGCTGGTGTAACTGCACCCATCATAGACCCCAGTGTTTCATGTGGTACATCACTGGCAACAACAAAAGAAAATCTCATGTTTGTAACTAGAGGTCATAGATTTAAAATAATTGGTGAGAGAATTAGTGACGGAATGATGTGGTTTTTCAAACAGTTTTGTCAGGAACACACTAAATGAATCAGTGGTACAGATGGAATTCCATAAGAACTTTTATAAAGGCCGTTGGCAGTAAAGAGAACTAGTTTTCAGGGTTATGGAGAAGAGGCTGGTCTGTGAGACCAAATTGGATTGCTCTGCCAAAAAGCTCATACAAACATGATGTGTGAATGCTCACTTTTTGTACTGCTACAGAATCATAGAATCTTACAGCACATATAGAAAATTGGTTAACAGGCAAGAATCAAAAGGTGTTGCAAGGATTGCAGAGCAGTTGATGGCAGAGATGAACAGTGGGCTGAAAGATGGCAATATGAGTTTTTATTTTAAATATACGTAGAATACAAGAGCAAAGAAAATAGCAAGACCTGCAATTACGTAGTGCCTTCCGTGATCACTACATCACTCGAAGCACATGCCAGAAGCATTCCATTAGCTATCATGTCAATGCTATGATGTAGCTACAATCATTTTATGCACAGCAAGTTTCAACAAACAAGTAAGGTAATGACCAGATAATCTGTTTTTGTTTTGTTGAATTGAGGTAATACCAGGATAATTCTCCTGCTGTTCTTCAAAATAGTGCCATGAAGACGCTCCATTAGCGGGCAGATGAAATTTAATGTCACATCCAGATAACAGCACCTTCAACATTGCAGCGCTCCCTCAGTAATGCACTGACATGATGGCCTTGATGTTTGTGTGCAAATTATGGAGTTGAGCTTCAACCTATATCCTTGTGCCCAGAGGTGAGAGTGCTATAAACAAGTCAGGTTTGAGGCATAGCTTATAAGCAAATTTTATGGTCTTTGTACAAATAATGCTGGATGCAGTTTTAGGTGATCTGTTACAGAAAGGACATTAAAATCAGAGAGAATATGAAGTATCAATGGTGTTAAAATATCAAAATTAATAAAGGTTATGGTAATACATGAGACAAGACAAGACTATCTTTGCTAGTTAGTGTTAACTGAAGATTGTCATCAAAGAGTTTGAGAATTTATTTTTATGTAAAGTGTTATAGGAATATGGCATGTTTTACAACAGAATAAATTAGGTAGCAGTCATTGAATCTCTCAAGGCAACATTAGATAAATATTTGGAATTAGGGAGATGCAGGGGTTTTAGAAGGAAAAAGGGCAGTAGATACAGAATTATAAGAAATTTTGGATTGCTTTGGCGAAGGTCTGATAGGCAGAATGGCCAACTTCATTGCAAACATCTATGGTTATATATGATTGTGTATGGCTCTTCTGAATCATACACTAGCTATTTTGGGATTACACACGAATTGTGCAGTGTAAATCATCCAGCTCCCACTGAGGTTCTATTTATAAAATAATTTTGAGTAAAAGACTCTGCCTTTACTGTTACTGCAATCTGCCCTCACCCCAAACCACCAGTGACAGAGCATCCTACTCCACAACAAATATGGCCAAAGCAACTGTATTTCCAAATAAAAATGAGAAGCATATGGCCTCAAATAGAACGAACAAAGGACAGGATATTTCTGCACCCATTCTAGAAATGTCCGGCAACACGTACCAAACTACTGCCAGGAGGATAAGTATGCCTGAAATATGATTGTCTTGACCTGCATTCACCAAACTATTTATTAGTTACTTCTTTGTTCATTCCATTCAGCTGACTAAACGAGGTCACCTAAAATGCACATTGCTATCAGTGTAAGCACAATGATGCCAAGAAACCTTTTGTGGTCTTCTCGAAGAGTGGTCTGCAGTGACTTTGCTATGATCTGTATGCAATACGCATTTCAAAAAGTGGAGTTCTACCACTAGGTGTCACCCATTACTTTGTAATTTCAATTGAGAAGACATAAAGTAATTGCCATAATCATGACTTCTAAATGCCCTAGGGTATTGTATGACCTGTTTATTATTCTCAAAAATAGTGTTATGGAAACATGAGATTATTAGTTATATCGGTTATCTTGTTTTGAAGTTCCGTGCTTGTATTTTCATAGAATCATAGGATGCCTATAGTATGGAAGCAGGCCATTCGGTCCATTAAGTCCATACTGACTCTCCAAAGAGCATCCCACCCAGGCTGCTCTCTTCTATATTAGCATGGCCAATCCATCTTACCTGCACATCTTTGGACTGTGAAAGGAAACCGGAGCGCCTGGAGAAACCCATACAGACACGAGGAGAATGTGCAAACTCTAATTTGCCAATTAGTTTACCCAATTGTGATAAACCAACTATAAATTCAAGTCGTATTCATTAAATGGATGTTTCACTGTTTTTGTTGAGGTTTCTGCAATGAGCTTGTACAAGATCAGGAGTTTCTTCTCGTCAGTTGTTGGACGTAAGCATCACTGGCTGGGCCAGCATTTATTGCCCATCCTTAGTTGCACTTTAGAAGGTTGGTGGTGAACTCATCTTGAAACACTGCAGTCCACGTGCTGTAGACTGGCCCACAATGCAGTTTATTACAGGTTGAATTCCAGGACTTCGACACACTGACAGTGAGGGAATAAAGATATATTTCCAAGGCAGGATTGTGAGTGGCTTGGCAGGGAACTGGCAAGTAGTGATGCTCCCATGTATCTATTGTCCTGTCCTTCTAGACGGAAGTGGTCGTTAGAAGGTGCTGTCAAAGGATCCTTTCAGATGTACCTTTGTGTACATAGACTGAAAATTATTGAAATAATTCATCAAATGCTCAGTCCATGAGTTTCTTCGAAATGCTACTACTAACAAGTCAGTCAATGTGCAAGGCTGAATACTGAGCTTAATGTTTTTTTAAAAAAACAAGTTGTCTGAATGTTGTTCCTGAATTTCCTTACTTGCACATGAAATTTTTGGGGGGGCTGCCTTCTTGAACTACTTGTTCCTGTGCCTCCACAATGAATCTACGTACGGAACACTGAATACAGATCCAGCGATGATGGAGAAACCATACTGTATTTATAAGTCAGAAATTATGTCTGTTCTGAGGAAGGGTCACCGGACCCAAAACATTAACTCTGTTTTCTCCTTCACAGATGCTGCCAGACCTGCTGAGCTTTTCCAGCAACTTTGTTTTTGTTCCTGATTTACAGCATCCTCAGTTCTTATGGTTTTTATTATGTCTGTTGGAGCTGTTGGTATCCCCATTGTATTGTAGCTTTTAGCCTTCTTGCTATCTTGATGTTAGAGGTCACAAGGTAGATCACTGTTTGAAATGTTGTAATACATTCTATAGATCAATGACCAGTGGTGGAAGAGCACCAGAAAAGAAAACTGTCTGTTCTGGGCAGTATTGCATCATTGTTTAGTCTTTGAAGAATCAGCATCGAAGATATTTGATGCAGAGTGTCTAATCTCTCTTTTAAATTTAAAGATATCTATTTCTCTGATGTTTTTGGTAGTAGTAACTCCTAAAATGTTGTTGGTGGAAAATTTGGCATCGATGATGTGAAGTTGGGTAATATAGCTGGACTTTCTTTTCAAATGATTGTTGTCCACCACTTACTTGATATGAACATTATGTAGAGCATGTCAGTTTGGATGTTATCTGGCTTCTTCCAAAGTCTGGCATGTGCCTATTTGTTATCTGAGATTTGAACCTTGAGTTGTTAATAAGTAGCTCCACTCCTGATGTTAGGGAAAGTCACTGAAGTGGTTGAAGATGAGAGCGTTTCCCTAAGGAAGTTCCACAGCTTTGGTGATCTAATACGAGGCCTGTGACAATAGCAGCCACATGTTGTGATGCAGTTATGACTCAATCTGTTAGATTTCCATTTCATCCCCGGCCCTCATTGTGTTACTAGGGCTTGTTGGTTTGATTCTGTGGCACCCTGGCCACCTTTCTTCTTCATTTAGTATGACTTAAAAAAAAATGTTAACTGGCCATTTATCTCCTTGTCCTGCTCTGTGCGAGCAGGTAATTAATTTTTAGCCAACTATTTTAGTAAGTTTCTGAGAAATGATAAAATATCACATAAAAATCTTGTCCAGTTGCCTAGCCAACAACTGAAAGCATTTTATCTGATTGTAGCAAATTCATTGAACTTATTTGATTAATACTCTGTAGCAAACTGTGCACACAATGTTTCACTTCAATCAGTATCAGTGTTCCAGTGTTAACTCCAATCGTATGACTGATGTGTTCATACTATTGTAACCATAATTTATCACCTTCAGAATTGGTTGTATCATGCAGTATTGAAACACGAAAGAATGGTGGGCAAATTTTAAATCTCTGCTTTATTAAATACCAGTCTCTGGTTTGTTCCTATAGGGTAGTACTGAGTGAAGGTGACGTGTTCTTCCCAACTGAGAATTTCCATCAGTCCTGGTGGGATATTTGTTTGCTTTCAAATCAAAAGCAAAATGCTTAAAAGCAGTGAAAGATATTCTCATTTCTTAATGGTAGCTGAGTTGACCTTGCAGTCTATCCTTACAGGGTGGAAAGTGGAGCAACTACACTACTTAAATAAATATGTTATTAGATAGTTAGGAGGGAAGGAACCTGGGAGAAGTGCATCCTACGAAGACCTTGCTGACACTTTGAAAATGAAAACATGTTGAGAAATGGAATGTAATTGTACAAAGTGTGTGGTCACCCATTCTGTTTCTACACAATTGAAGCTGTTCAAATGTTCTTATTAGTTTGATTTATTTTATCAGTAAATACATAGGCAGCAGTATCTAGATTGGTAATTGTGATTATGCATTTATATCATGCAGAAGGGGACTTTGCTCTACAAGGCAGTCTCGGAAGCCTTTCCCTCAGTGATCTGACACCCCATGGAGAGCTGTACAGGGAACGTTTTACCACTAGTGGCAAAGAAGCACTCATCTTCAACATTTACAAGTATGCATTTGTGTCTGTGTAATATTTTTAACAACTTTTACTTTATCCATAAAATGCTACAAATGCTTTTTTCTGGGTTCGTGCAAATAAAATTGAAAGGTAATAAAAATCTCCAGTTGGGTTTTGACATTGAATGAATGTTATATGTCAAAACTACAAAATGAAAGAATAAAAGTATTCTTAAATTATGCCTATATATATCCATGATTGAAAGGTCCTATTCAATCTTCGAGTGCCTGACAGAGTGATATAAAAGGAAAGTTGCTACTGGTGAAATTTTTCTCCATTCTACTGCAGAATATTCTATACCAAAACTTTGCAGGCATCAAAAACATGTGAAGTATATATTGCAGGTGTAGAATTGTAATGAGTATGGGTGCTTGAGGGAACAAAATACAGCTGTTATTAAGTCCTGATTGACTTATCATATATTAAAAAAAACTGCTACAGATCTTAAAATTTTATTTTGCCTCAAGTAAAACGTGTTCAGTAAAGGTGAAATGGAGTTTCATATTGCATTTGTAAGTTCTCTATTAGTTTACCACACCTTGTGCACTTACACAGCAGTAGCCCCTGCCCTTGAACTCCAAAACCTGACTACTGTTACCTTTTCATTTGGTTACTATAAACCACCTAAAGGAGTGATTTGCCATCTTTCTATTGTTTCTTATTTATAAGTATGCAGCCTCTATTTGATCACTTGGTACACCTATATTGGAGAACCAATTCGCTTTGACTCCAATTGGGATACATATTGAGGTCTTGATGTGCGCATGGCATTTATACATTCTTTAAACCCATAGACACCCTTCGTGAATTGTTCTTAATTTTTATTTGTTAAAGGTGGTCAAAACTTTTAATATAATGTCTGCAAGCTTTTATAACACAATGTTACATGTTGAACTTTATTAATCTTCTACTTTGGTCATTAATCTTACAATTTCAGTGTCTATTTCTACCTCTATAACATTGCATGAATCCCTAATTGCACCTGCAGCTGGAACCTTCATCTGTGTCTGATCACCAAACTCAATTGTCACAAGGTTCCCTTGATTTCCCATAAGCTACACTACATTAACAACAGCTGATCCAAAACTCTTGACCTGATCCCACCTCATATCAAAGTACACTCATCCCTGTCCCTGCTGAGCTACATTGGTTATTGGTTCTAAAGATCTCAAATTTAAAATTCTCATCCTTGTGTTTAAATCCCTCCCTGCTCTTGTCCTCCTTCCTTTCTCTGTATTATCTACCAGTATGTATCTATGTTCCCAAACACTCAATTTCTGTGTCACTCTGTCCTTCAGTGCACACCCCATTCCCTGGTCCCACAGTTGGTTACCATGCCTTCAACTACCTAGGATCCAAGCACTGGAATACTGTTCCTAAGGCGATCCACTTCTCTATCATCTTCCCTCATTATAGCCTATGTTTTTAACCAAGTGTTTGGTCATTCTAATTTTTCCTAATTTGGCTTGCTGTTGACCTGCATCTTTGAGAACTAATGAATGTAAGTTATTGTTGAATAAGGCAATTCTTTTCCTCTGAAACCAGGTATGGCAGACCAGACCCGAAGCTTAAGCGAGATTGTGACATGAGAGTGAGCCTTCAAATGGCATCAGTGCAGTATGTTCACACCCAGCGCTTCCAAGCCGAAGTGGTGGCTTTTATTCAGCATTTCACTCAGCTACAGGATGTACTGGGGCGGCAGAGAGCAGCCATAGAGGGACAAGCAGTAAGACATTTACGTACCTATTACTATGTGTTGAGCAATAAGGGATCATGAAATTTGATGTTCATTCAGAATCCTTTTTACTAACTCTGGCTTGCTTTCCTTTCCAGTTCAAAGGCACTGAAGCCAGTTGCAATACAGCAGCAGCTATGTTAGTTGATATCAATTCACTCAGCACAACCCTGGTATCTTCTTATCTGGATGACTCAGTTGTACGCTACTTCATCATATAGCCATGCTGAGAGAGTTGGGATTTCTTCTAGATTTCACATACTTAAAGAATTCAGAGTGCACTGTTTTATGAAAGGGAAATAGAATACCATCGAAGTGTTTCTGTATCAGGGCAGCTGAACGCCAATAATTCATTGTGCACCTTATTTCATTTTTTTTTATTCAGGTGTTCAGTTTTAGGGAATTGTGCTTTGTTCAAAAGCTTGTATATCTCACTGATTTGAAGCAGTTCTGGCTATGCCTTTGAGAAAAACATGATTCTGGTCTTTGTGTCTAAATGTTGCTACCGTCATTGTATGGTGTGAAAATATTTGTAAACCTCCATATGACAGTTCATCTTTGCATCAGTCTTCACAGTGGAAACCCAATCCAATCCCAGAACTTAGAGAGCCAGGTCGCAGAGGTGAGTACAGTTGCCATCAATAAGGAGAAGGTGCTGTGGAAGCTGAAAGATCTGAAGGTGGATAAATCACCTGGACTAGGTGAACTACATCCCAGAGTTCTGAAGGAGATAGCAGAGGAGATTGTGGAGACTTTGGTGCTGATCTTTCAGCAAACACAGGAGTAAGGGAGGGTTCCAGAGGGCTGGAAAATGGCTAATATAGCATTCCCGTTTAAGAAGGGAGGAAGGCGGTAAATTATAGGCCAGTTAGTCATCCGTAAGATTTTACGGTCCATTGGTAAGAATGAGATTGTGGAATACTTGGAAGTGCATGGTAAAATAGTTCTGAATCAGCATAACTTCGTCAAAGGAAGGTAATGCCTGACAAATCTGTTAAATTCTTTGAGGAGCTAATGAGCAAGTTCGACAAAGAAAAGCCAGTGGATGTGATGTATTTGAATTTCCAGAATGCCTTTGAGGAGGTGCGTCACAGGAGACTGCGAAATAAGAGCCCATGGTGTTATGGACAAGGTAATAAGATGGAAAGAGGACTAGATGACTGGCAAAAGGCAGAACATAGGGATAAAGGTCTTTTTTCAGGATAGCGGATAGTGGCTAGTGGAGTTTTGTACGGGTCTGTGTTATTCATGTTATACATTAACAATATGGATGAATAACTGAGGGCATTGTTGCTAAGTTTGCAGGTGAAACAAGCATTGGTGAAGAGAAGGGTAGTGTTGAGGAAGTGGGGAGGCTGCCAAAGGATTTTGACAGGCTAGGAGAGTGGGTAAAGTGGCTGATGGAATACAATGTAGGAGAATGTGAGGTATGTACTTTGGTAGGAAGAATAGAAGCATAGTCTATTTTCTAAATGGGGAACGGTTTTGGAAATCTGAAGCACAGCGGGATTTGGGAGTCCAAGTTCAGGATTCTCTTAAGGTTAACATGTAGGTTCAGTTGGTAGCTAGGAAAGCAAATGCATTGTTTGCATTCATTTCAAGAGGGCTAGAATCCAAGAGTAGACATGTACTTCTGAGGCTGTATCAAGCTCTTATCAAACCGAATTGGAATATTCTGAGCCTTTTTTGATCTCATGATTGAGGAAAGATGTGCTGACGTCGAAGGGGTTCCAGAGACGGTTTACAAGAATCCTAGGGGATGAAAGGCTTGTGATATGAAGACTGTGGGTCTGTACTTGGAGTTTAGAAGGATGGGGGGGATCTCACTGAAACTTACAGAATACTGAGGGGCCTGGATTGAGTGGAGGTGGCGAATATGTTTTCACTGGTACGAGAGACCAGGACCCAAAGGCACAGCCTCAGAACGAAGGGACGATCCCTCTAGATGAGGAAGGATTTCAGAGGGTGATGAATCAGTGGAATTTATTGCTGCAGAAGGCTGAGGAGGCCAAGTTATTGAGTGTATTTAAGACAGAAATAGGTTCTTGATTGGTAAGGGTATCATGAGCTACGGGGCGAAGGCATGGAAATAGGGTTAAGAAGCATATCAGCCATGATCAAATGTTGGAGCTGATTCGATGGGCCAAATAGACTGATCTTGCTCCTATATGTAATCGTCTATCACCCTTGACAGGATTATCTCGTATGTTGGTTAGTTGTCTTGTGTGACAGACTGTCAGGCAGGCAATCACTTGTTTGCTTTTAGCCGACAAGAACTGGGAAATGGAGGTCAATAAGTTAACATAGTGGAATTAAGTTATGCAGGCTAATAGCCTGGATGTACTGTGCTGTTGAACTGCTGGTTATGTATTGATAATGAAATGAAGCAGTAGGTATTTAGCAAACTGCCAAGTTTAATGATAAAGAAGCTTGCAGCTTCTTGATTAATTGTACTGTTTTCTTTTACTCCGCACTAGATTTTCTTTTGACATTTTGCTCCAGAGCTTTACTTTGGAAGCAACCCAACTAAGTTTGCATTTTTTAAAATATGAGTCAGATTCCAAGATGAATCCAATTGTTGTGAAGAAGATCAGTATTTTATTGCTTTATCATCTGTATTCCTGCAAAGTAGCTTCAGATCAATTCTCTGTAACATTGCTGTGTTTTTTCACATCTCGTAAATATGGATATACGATTAGCAGCAGAATGAGGCAATTTGGCCCCTCAAACCTGATCCAGCATTTAGTGAGATCATGACTGATCTGTTTGTGTTTCAAATTCCATATTCTCATCCACAGGACTTATGTTAACCTTTGATTGCCTTGCCTAGACCTCTGCCAGATTTTTTCCCAATCAGTCAACCTATTCATATCATCCTGCAACCTCTTCACATCCATGTTTTCCTATCTATCTTTGTGTCATCTACAAATTTAGCTACCATACGTTTGTTCCCCTCATTTAAGTAATGGCTTAGCATTGAGGCCCCAAGATAGATCCTGTGGGCCCCAGTGTTACAACCTGCTGATCAGAAAAGTACTAATTGATCCATATTCTTTTCTAACAATGAGCTGATTGAATTTTTTAAATTCAGGTTACCTCCTACACCATGTGCTTTTATTTTGTGGAATAACATTTTGTGACACCTTGTCAAATGCCTCCTGGAGGACTAGGTATGGTATGTTATTAAGTTCCCCCTTATCCATAGCAATTCTACTCCTTAAAAGAATGCCAGTAATTTGGTTGAACATGATTTCCCTTTCACAAAACCATGCTGACTCTTCCAGATTATCTTGAATTTTTCAAAGTTCCCAGCTATAAACCCCTCAATGATCGATTCTAATTTTCCCCATGACAGACATCAAGCTAACTGTTCTGTTGTTTCCTAATGGTTTTCTACTTGTCTCTCCTTTTGAAGAGACAAATTATGTTTGCTACTTTCCAGTCTGATGGAACCTTTCCAGAATCTAGCAAATTTTGAAAAAAAAATGCTGACCCATCTACTTCATTTGCCACCTCTTTTAAGACTCGAGGATCAAGCCCATCAAGATCCTCCCACAGTTTTATCAGTTTGTTGGGGATTGCTTCCCTACTGATGGTCCATCCATAATTTCCTTATTATGTACCATTAACTCCCAAATCTCTCTCACTGTAGAATCAAAACTCACTTTATTTACCCCTTCCCCTTTTATTCACCTGTAGAAACTTTTGCTATTCATTTCTAGCTAGCTTCCTCTCATGTTGTAATTTCTTCTGGTTTACTTTTTGTTATTCTGTGCAGTTCTTTATATTTTGACCAATCATCTGACCTACGACTCATAATATATGCTTGTCCCTTAAGTTTGATGCTTTCCTTAACTACTTTCATTAACCACAGATGATGGGATCTCCCTTTGCAACTTTTTATTATCGTAGGAATATACTGAAATATCTCCTTCAATAGTTGCCATTGCTTGTGTATTGATTTATCTTGTAGCCTAGTATGCCGGTTCACTTCAGCTAGCTCAGTTTTCGTGCCTATATTGTTACCCTTATTTAAGTTTAAAATAATAATCGTAGACCCACTCTTCTCCCTTTCAAGCTAGATGTAAAATTCAATCATATTGTGATCGCTGCCTGAAGGTGCCTTTACTCTGAGATCATGCATTAATCCTGTTTCATTATACAATGCCAAGTCTAATATAATCGACTGTCTAGCTGGTTCCAGAACATGCTGTTGTAAGAAATTATCTCAATAGTATTCTTTGAACACTTCACCCAGACTACCATTGTCAATCTGATTTTTCCAATTTATGTGTTGATTAAAATCACTGATTATTGCTGTTCTTGTATCACAAACATCCAATGTTTCCTGTATACTTGAACCAACATTGTGGTTACTATTAGGAACCTGTTAAGACCACTAATTGCATTGTTCCTCTAATATTTTTCGCCTACACCCAAAGCAGTTCTACATCTTGATTTCCTGAACCAAGGTCATCTTGAACAATGGCACCAATGTCATCTTTTATTAAAAGCAGTATCCCTGCAGCTTTACCTGGCTTCATATTCTTCTGGAATGTCATATACTTCTCAACATTCAGTACTTAAAGCTTGTCATCCTGCAGCCATGTTTCTGTAATGGCTACCAGATCATATTGATTTACTTTAACTCATTTAGTTTATAATGAATGCTATGTGCATTCAGATGAAGAGCTTTTAGGTTTTTTTTATTACCTTTGCAACATCCAGTCTTGACTGTTGGTGTATTGTAAGGTCTTTACTTAGTCCTTTTCTGCAATTCTCTTATCTTCGTTTCCATATTACTACTTTGCTGTCCTCCTATCTCTTGATTTGCTACGTCTACCCAAGTTTGATCTTTCAACCCCTTACTTAGTTTGAAACCTTTTCTATTTTCCTAGTTACTCACTCACTTAGAACACCAGTCCCAGTGTAGTTCAGGTGCATACCGTCCCAAAGATAGAGATCTCACTTTTCCCAGTACTAGTACCAGT